TTCTTTTTGGGGTATTTTTGCAAAAAATGGAGTTGGACCCGGTGAGGGTTGCCTACGTATCCCACATCCGGTGAGAATCAAACTTGCGTAGTTCGGGCAGTTTTGACATAATAGAAACAATACCAAATATTTTTCTTGAAACAATTTTCCTTTTCTCTTTCTCAAGATTTCGGCAGAGTTTCGGTACTTTTCGGATACCAGATTTTCAAAGACGGGTAATTACCTCTCTCATACCTCAACTTGATTTTTTCCAAACTTTCTCCATTATTTTAGAAGCCGGTCAACATGCAATCCGGAGAAAATAAATGCACAAGTAGCAAGTAGAATGCATCAGGATGGTCTGTTAATTTCGGGTACTCCTGTCCTAGACGGACCCAACCCCTGTGTTGAGTCTCCTAAGTCAAATGCACGTGATGAAAACAAGCGTTCCTACTAGGGATCCGGCATGAGGCTTTGTTATACTAGGTTTAAAACCCTGGGTGTATTGTTCTAGACTTGGCTTACCCGAGCGGACAGCTCGAGCCGAGGGGGGCAGTGTACCGGGAATACAGAAGCTTCACCGGCTTTGCAACTTGTCTGAACCTCGTTCTAAAATTGGAATATGACTCTAACAGAAAAGAAGTTACACGAAGTGCACACTTCCCAGATGATTTAGAAGACTCAGAGAGAAGAGGGTTTCGTAACAGTTTTATATACAATCAACCAATATCAAAGCGGTAAAAACAGCATTTAGCACATTAGGTTCAAACATGTAAAATCAGATAATAAATAAAGCCAAACTATAACAGTTATTCTAAGCTCGAATTCTTAAACCCTGAACAAAAGTTCTGGGTTCTCATCCCCAGCGGAGTCGCCAGAGCTGTCACACCTCCTTTTTTACCACCCCGAGGGGGGATAAGGGAGTTTTTCCAATTAAAGTGATATTATTCAAAATGGAATTATTTTATTTATTTCAGAGTCGCCACTTGGGATATTTATTATGGTGTCCCAACTCACCGGTTTATTTTAAATCCCAAATCGAGGAAATTTCGACTTTATTTAAAAGTCTGCGAAACTAGAAATTCTAGATAAGGAATTTTGTTAACCCGGGAGAAGGTGTTAGGCATTACCGAATTCTGTGGTTCGAGCACGGTCGCATAAACTATTAAAATTGGCCTATTATCTGATTAACTACATATTTTAGCCTATTGTGCATTTTCGCTTCTATAACCGCTTTTAACTAATTTAAACCGCTTTTAGGAAGATTCAACGTTATTTAAAATACGTCTTAAACCACGCTACATGAAATGCACCCGCGGTTCGCGACACGTTCTATTTAACATTGTTGAGGAATTGAAATTGGGTTACATGAAATGTACACCCGAATTTATTAATTAAAAATCACAACTACGTCACGGGAACCGTACCCGTAGCAATGATTGAATTAATTAATAAACGCGCCTAAGGCAACTTCGAAGATTCAAATTAATAACAACATATGTGAGGGACGTGGAGAGTTTAATTGATGGCACACCTCAATTTTTAAAAAGAATTAACTTTAGAGTTAATTTCATGAGGGCCATGGGGTTAAAGGGGTTTTATGGCACACCTCAATTTGATTTTAATTAAAGGAGATTATTATAAGGCTAAGATCCTAATGGAAGTTTGAACTAGAATTTCCTTAACTTAAAGCCAAGCTTTTGGATTATTGTGAGCAGCTGCTTTGGGCCAAAGCGTCCACATTGGACTAAACCCAATAAAAGCTCAATTTTGAGAAAAGCTGGACTTGGACTCCAGACTTGGGCCCGGCGGAACAAAAGTTCAGAGATCTTGCTTCTTTTGGGTTTTAACTATTGCCCGCATTGGGCTTCAGGCGGGCCCAAATGCTATATGCGTTCTAGTTGGGCATGTCTACCTTTACAATTAACTAAATCTATCTATTTATAACCAAAGCAGTTCAATTTATTGCTTAAGTAAAGAATTTAGGACATTTAAAGATCAAAACACATTTCTAATCTCGAAAGTTAATCAATGATTCACAAAAATAAAAGAAGCATACACTTGTATCATGGAAAAGAGAGGCTTGGATTTTGGGCTTAGGTCCCAGGCCCAAAGGCCTAGGTCCAGATTCCTTTCATGGATCGATATTCGATTGGGCCTCAAGTTTAGCCCCACTTGATCCAAGGATAGCCCCTTTTACCCTTACGGATTGGGGCTCTCGACCCCAGCCCATTGTACCACCACAATTATGAATACTCTTATTAATAATTCATACAAAACTGAAAGTCTTACTTATTACAGCACTTCATACAAAATCAAATTTTCTAAGGGAAAATCTATGAATATTACATGATATCCTATTAAGTACATATAATACTATTCTAATTACTAATCTGCTATAATTCTCATTTCATTGATGAACCAATAGACAGCCTGCCGCCCTTGGACATTGTTTATCCATCAAAGCTAAGCCTCTCACATAAACAAACTAAATTTCAGCAAGTTCAAACAATGGAAATTTTAGACTTTTAACCTTGGAACCTACTAATTTGGTCAACTAGTGACTCAAATCTGTAGGAATTGGCTAGTAGTTTGCAAATAGAGCCCAAATGACCTCAAAACAATAAAAAACATCAATCAAAAAGAGAACAAGAGCAGAAATGAGTCAAACACAATGGCTACCAACAACAAACTTTCAATTCTTATCCCTTTAACCTGTTGATTTGGCCAACTAGTGGCCAAACTCACAGATTACAGCTCATAATTAGCAAACCAATCTCAGGTGACATCAAGTAAACAAGTTATGCATTTAAATAGAAGAAAAGGAAGGGGAAGACATGACTCTAAAAACCAGAATCATCATTATTCAAACAGAGTATTTAGCTATAGAACATCTTTAAACAGGGTCACTTTTTAGAATGATGACTGCTAAACAATCATGTATTAACTCAACTTGTTTATACCACATTAATTCAAGCTTTAAGCTCACATAGTAGCAAATAACTGGGATACACATCATTGCAGTCAGAACACTAACATGAAAAGAATAACCATTCATCATAGGTAACTTGCAATTTTTGATCCCCATACCATTTTAACAAAAGCTCATTACATGAAGAAAAGTTGAGTTCAAATACCTTGAACAAACAGCAATAAGAACCAGCGAGTGCTAAAACAGGAAAGTACTGGTTGAAAACACTTGATAAGAGCAAGGAGCAACAACAGAAATTAAGCAGCAACAAACAACGCAGCTACAGCAGTCCACAACTGAATCAAATTTTAGACCCAAAAACCAGCAAACTTGAACCCAGAAACCCCAAACAAAACACCTAAGAAGGATACTCCAAACTTCAAACCATTATCCTCTAGCTTGTAAAGAATCAGAAAAGAAGTTTTGAAGTTTTTGTCAAGGTTTTTCTGGAATCTAAACTTTTTCAGAAAAAAGAAAAGGGAGCTTTGGTGCAGTAAAATGATGCTAAAAAGTGCTGATGGTTGCTAAAAATGATTGTCAATGATTGATTGTGAGAGTGAGGGAATATTTTCCTTTTATAGAGTGCACAAACAATGGCATCAAAAGGGAATATTTTGACCTAAATTCCTAAATTTCAGAATAGTACAACATCTTTTGACAGCTGTATGTCCTTTTTTCTCATCCAATATCAGCATTTGCTAAGGACAGGGACAACTGTCCTAATTTCTAGAACTTTCTGATTTTAGCCTCAGTAAAAATTCAATTTTACCCTTTAAGTTACTGGTTATTTCATTTTTGACCTATATTCTGACTTCAATTCAATTCCAGCCATTTTTCTAGGGTATTGCATCTTATTTTCTGAAATTAAACTAAAGTTGAGGTTTCAAATTTGGAGGTTTAAACCTACAAGAAAATTTAGCCAACTAATCCTAACAACTGATAAAATGCAGAATGCTTGATGCAAAGAAAACCTAAATTACCCTAATTATCTTCAATTAAACAGATCAAACAGACTAAAGCTAAGGTTTTCTATGGTTAAACAAGAACAGGTCAAACAAATAGCCGACTAACCTTTGGGAATTTAGTAAACTATTCTAATTGACTTAAAACAAGCAACTAGGTGTAAACTCATGAAAAACAATCCAGGAATATATAGAAAAGAAAAACAAACATGCAACTTTCTAAATTTAGACCCTAATTAATCTAAGTCTGATGCAATTAAAACTGGGCTTCTAACAGATTTAACATGCTTATGCAAAGAGAACAAGAAATCAAAACTAACTTATTTTAAACAAACGAGATGGAATCTAAAGCTAAAACAATCAGGATTTAACTAAAGTAGGCAATCAATTAAACCTTAACCCTATCTTAATTACCCTAATTAACACTGAAAACAAACTGGCAAGAGGAACAAACATGAAGAAACAAAACAAACGGATTTTCAGGAACTTAAAACGCTAAACCTAGGCAAATGAAAATCTAAGAAATGCAGTTAATGAAAATAATAGTAGAAGAAAAGAAAAAATAAAACCTAAATCAAGTGGCTAAATCAGGTGCAATTAACATAAAGGGTATTTCAACAAAAGACAAAGAAAAAATAAAGAAAAGATAGAAGAGGTTACCTATTGCTCTTTTTTTCCAAAGATAAAAAAAAGGACCATCCACGAATTCTGACCAAACTAACAATAAGGTAAAGCTGAACTTTGAACTACCATTAATCGACTGTTCTTAACAAGAACAGTCGACTAATGGATGTTTTTGGGTTCACCTGACCAACTTTGACCGGAGAATCAGAAAGATGAGAAAATTAGAGCTCGACGATTTTGAGATTTAAGATTCGAGGAGTGTGGCTGGGATTTTTGGGAAATCAATGGTGAGACAGTGGTGAGGGAAGGTGGAGGACTATGGAGTGTGATTTTGGGTGGATTTGGGTGAGTTAGGGTTTTGGGCATCGATCTTAGATCTAAGATTCGAGCCGTTTGGGAGGGATTCGAAAGTCGTGTGTTGTGGATTCGGAAAGAGGAGGGTGAGGAGGTCATGTGGTGTAAAAATGGTGGTGTTTGGACCACCGGCACCGCCGTGGGCGATATCCGGCGGGTGGTCGACGGCGGAGGCAGCGGAGAGAATTGGGGCGGCTAGGGTTCTTAGAGTTTAGAGAGGGAGACGGTGAAGTGAGGGGGTTTGGACTGGGGGGGGATCAATTTTCGGACATATATGTATTAATTAGGCCCTCAGTTCTGAGTCGTTGGATGGTCAAAATCCAACGGCTGTGATTAGATCGAAATGAAACGGGGTCGTTTGGGCATGGCAAGGGATTGGACCGGGTGTATTTGGTTTTGGGCTTGGGTTGTGGGTTATTTTTGATGGGTTTTGGGTAATTTTTTTTGGGTTTGGACAGATTTGGCCCAATTGCCTAAAATACCATTTCTATTAAACCCGTATTTTCCTTTTCTTTTCTTTTCTTTACTTTTTTTCTAATTAAAAAACCTAAAAAAATCTAAATTATCTAAATTGTAAAATTAAACCATCTATCTAATTATAAAAATTATAAACATCACTTAATTCTAAACTAAAAGAGAAAAATCAATAAATTAAGCATTAAAAGACAAAAGATATAAAAATGAGTTATTTTTTGGGATTTTCAAATTTCTATAAAATAAATAATTACTGATTAATCCAAAAAAATGTGAAAACAAATCCTAAATTAAATGCATGGTATTTTTGATTTTTTTTCATGATTTAAATAAAACTTAAACATGCACAAAATGCAAACAATTAAATAAAATTCTACAAAAATTCCTAAAATGGGAAATAATTAACAGAAAACCCTATTTTCTTGGGATTTTATAGGAGTATTTCGTATAGGGAAAAAGTCACATGCTCACAAGCCCTTTTTTGACTTAGTCTCTACTTGAGAAAGAGGGACTAAGTCTAGGAAAACTAGGCTAACAAGAAAATGGGGTGAACTCAAGAAATTGATATCCCCAATTAAAGGGTTAAACCTAGAGATAGTAATACCCGACTTGAGCTAATATCACTTGTATTGCATGAATACCCATTTGGACTTGAGAAGGCCAAATTGAAAAAAATTACTCACACTACCGAGAGGTATAGAGTGAGTACTCGGGTGTGATAGCTGTATTACGACCCCAATTAATCACATGATTGCCTAGATTCTGCTACCCGTTAGATATCCATCTAGGTAGAAGTCACTACCCTAGTCTCTTTAACCCTTTAAAATCAACAACAAAAATATTATACTTAGTTTTAAATATTAGCTTTAGAAGTAGAATCAAAACAAACATGTGTGGAAGTGTAATTAAGAGCAAAACCCGCATCTAGACTTAGATATAAATATAATTTCAAAAAAATTAACTCCGGATTCGATCCCGACCTAGTTGGGCAAAACTGCATCGACTACCCTCGCTACTCAATAGTAGTGCAGGCTTGGACCCGATCATTGCTCCACTAAATTCTTATCATATAGTGGACGGTGCAACTTATTAAAAGTGTGCTATTTGAGATGCAACCTACAAGGCTCAGGCATTTCTAATTCCTAAGAAGGTTATTCAACTCATAACTAGAGTTTGGAGAATATTTCTATGGACAAGCAGTTATAAGAGCTCAAGGAAAGCTTTGGCTGCATGGGAGACATTATGTAAACCACATTCAACAGATGGTCTGAACTTCATAGAGTTCCATACATGGAATAGAGTAGCTATCAGTAAATTACTATGGACTGTAACAATCAAGAAACATGCACTCTGGATAAAATGGATTCATACCTTCTATATCAAATGGAAAGAAGTGCAGCAACTAAATACTCCTACACAAGCCTGCTGGCTAGTAAGGAAAATATTGGATGCAAAAAAATGGTTCCTGAACATGGACTACAATGTGACATTATAGAGTTGATGTGATAAAGATAAGTTCAGCATTAAAAAAGCTTACTTATTCTTTCTTCCATAGTTTCAGAAAGTTCAATGGAAAGGGCTAGTGTTGGGACCAACTACTATACCAAAACACAAGTTTATCCTTTGGCTGGTACTACTGGGTCGATTAGCCACCGTTGATCGATTGCAGAAATGGGGCATACATGTCCAAATTGATTGTGTCTTATGTACTACTGGAGCTGAGGAAAACCTGCAACATTTGTTCTTCCAATGCCCTTACTCATCCCAAATTTGGAGTGCACTACTCAGGTGGCTAGAGGAGAATAGGAGAATTAGCAACTGGGGGGAGGAGATTGATTGGATAAGCAGAAAAATGAGGAACAACAGTCCACGAGTAGAGATCATGAAGTTCCTATGCGCTGCTACTATTTACCATGTATGGAGTGAAAGAAACGCAAGGAGATTCCGAGCTGAAAAGAAAGAAAGCTAACAGAGACTAAAAGAGATAGCCATACAGTTGCACACAAGAGGGCAACACTTCAGCAAATAGAAGAGAGTCTTAGAGTCCTTGAATAGTTACCATGTGTAGAGGTATTTGAGATACTAGAAAGAGAAACTTACACCTTCACAAATAGGTAGTGAGATTATGGAGGACTAGTTATAGAGTCAAATGTAACTAGTGGATGTATATAATTATATTTGGTTAAAATATAACTTTTATTTTTGATCCAAAAAAAAATAGGTTATACTTCGATAAAATACTTCTAAATCTAATGGAGTCCTCTAGTACGAAATTTTGTTTCCTACTTGGATTATCCTGTTTTGGTGTTTACTTCTTCAAATTTTGATTTTAATTTCTTAAATAATAGAAAAGTAACTTAAGTTACAATTGTCTGCAACATGAAATATATGTTTAAAATATAAAAAATGCGTAATGACCTTAGAGTATGCGTATTGCACGTGTACACTATATTAATGTGTTCAAAATTGTAAAACATCACATATATTATTAAAAAGGTATCATATTTATAAAATAGAAAGTAATAATAAATTTATGTAAGCTTTTAAAAATGATAAATGCCGAATCTCAATAGAGAAAATTTTCTACCCGTATTTTTCCTTATTCTACATATTAATTGTTTACCTTGAAAACGGTAGTTACAATTAAATTTGATTTTGTGGTTCTAAAAATATATGATTTATTTTTATGCTAGTTTTTAAGCGATAGATGCTAAGTGTGAGTTAGAAAAATGAGATAGGAGCTCAAGGACAGTATGTTATGCAAACCGAATGGCCGTGAATCGATGTCTCGAGCTGGCCTAAGCTGGGCCTCGAGGTTGAGCTAATGAACTCGACTGGGGATGAACGATGAAGGACTAATAGTTTCAAGGGCCTCAATGATGGCTCTTTATGATCAATTATGAGTAATAAATGAAGAACAATTAATGAAACACAATAAATGTAAGCAATAAAATCAAAGGAGAGACAATGGAGAATGTTTAAGTTAGAGAGCAGAGAATGTTCAGGCTCTTGTCTTCAATATCATGTGTGCAAGAAATAACAAGGGTCCCCTTTATATAGGAGGGGGAATCCCAACATGGTACATGTGTAATTATTACAAAGAAACATAGCTGGTACAGCTACTTAATAGTCCGGTACAGACTTGTACTATTCTTGTAGGCGTTGTTAGTTTCGACCACGTGCCTAGGGAATTTTCCGATTGTCCATGATAGCCACCGATTTGCACTGCCCCAAGGTCGAACATATGGAACCCTCAGGGTCAAACCTCGAGCTGTTCCTCGAGCCTTCTGGAGATGGGCTATGGAGCGTCATAATGATCATAAAATTGGACTCTCCAATTTTAGCCGTATACAGATAGTCCCCGCGTTTCTTAGAGTGAAAATGATAAGAAACGGTCTTGAATTCTTGCCTCTTCAACACTTCCATCATGATATCAGTCACGCTATGTCAAGCGATTGATGTGACCGAAAAGGGTGTCTAAAGGTCGCGTTCACAAAGTTCTTGAAAAGCCTTTGAATTGATTACAGCGGTTGGCTATCTTTTGGCCTGCTCCAACGCACATGACGGGCCTCTATAAATACTTCTACTTTTACCCCCTTATTTTCCATTGCATCATCAAGCCTTCAAAAGAGTCTTCTTACTTCTCTCTTGTGTTCTTTCTCTGATTGCAATTTCTTCTTTCCTCTGAAATCTTTTAACAAGAATGGCGAAGACTTCCACCTCTGTCCCTTAGGAAGATGTGCCTTCCTCTTCTTCACGCTGAGTTGGTTGTTGCGCTATGCGGGGCCAGGGCTGAAGCCAAGGTGCTCGTATCCTCGTACAAAGAGGATGTTGTTGCTGCAAATGCTCTGGCCAGGAAGGTGTCCGAGGAGGCCGAGCTGCGACTGACTCGAGCCGTGGAGCATGCCCGGTTAGAATCTCGGAGGCAAGATCTGCCCGGAGGCATAGAGGAGATGCAACCGTTGAGGTAGATCATGTACCTATCGGTCGTTGTTCGAACATGGTGCAATAGAAGGGAGCGACAACACATCGATGGCTTGAGCCGAGAGACCTCTCGGGGCAGCTGAGCCTGCAATACCCAAGGTTTCTAGCCTCAAGGGAGTGTCTCCTCTTTTGCCATCGTCTTCTTCCCTGGTCGAAGGTACTTCGAGGGGCAAGGATCTTTCGCAGCTGTCTCCTTCTCCCGTCGAAGGTACTTCGAGGGATACATATTTTCTGCCGCCATCTTCTTTCCTGGTCAAAGGTACTTCGAGGGACAAGGATCTTTCGCCGTTGTCTCCTTCTCCCATCGAAGGTACTTCGAGGGATACAGATTTTCTGATGCCGTCTTCTTTTCCCGTCGAAGGTACTTCAAGGGATGTTCGAGGCCAGGGGCCGCCTAAATTAATCAGGGTCTCGAGCGATCATGTCCCCACCGAGAGCGGTTCGACTGGGGCCGATGAGATCAGGCCAGTAGATGTACGCTCAACCTTCGAGGAGGCTCAGCGGCTCTGTTCTATGGTGAGTTTTGGTTGACTTTGTTGGTTTTATAGTTTTGCATTTTCATTTTCTCAATGTGCTTCTTTTTAATAGGCCTTTGACAAGCTCAAGTCCAAGCTGCTCCACCGTGAAGACCGGTTGCGGAAAGCCTTGGATGGGGAGAAATCCCTCAGGCTTCTTTGTGATAAAAGGGCAAATGAGTTGATATATATTCGGTACGAGACGAGCTGAAGCGTAGACTACGAAGATCGCCTCGAGAGACAGGTAACCTTTGCTTCGAGGGGGTGCACGTTTCTTCTTCCATCCTCAGAGATTAATATTTTGATGCTTCAGTTGCAGAGTAAGGCGAAGGACCTGGAACACCTTTGGGGCGAAGTTGGTTAGGCCAAGTATGAGTGTAATGAGCTAAGGGCTCAGATAGATGCCCAAGTTGCGGCCAAGAAGAATGCTTTGGCCAAGGCCTCTTCCCTCGAGTTGCAACTTCGGAATGCTCGTGAAAAATGCTCGATCCAGACGAGCAGGATTGTAAGGCTCGAGTCTGACCTTTTGAAGATGAAGGCCGAGGTCGTGGACGCCCGGGCTAAAGCTGAAGAGATTCGAGCTAAGGCTGATAGGAAAGTGGTCGTCTATTTAAAAGACGATGCCGACGCTCGAGCTGAGTTGAGAGGGGCTTCCGATCGGGAGAGCAGAACCAATGAATATTCCCGATGCAGATCCCGAAGGGAAACCCTCGAGGAGATCCACGCTAGGGTCTTTGATCTCTCGGAAGAGGTAGAGCAGGCCAAGGCGGATGAATACAACGCCAAGTTCCTTGTATCCGATGTCGAAGATAATGGGGAAGAGGTCGATGGAGCCGTAGTCCCCGAGGGGAAAGTAGACTAGGCTTTTCCTTTCTGATTCTGCGTAGAATGCTCTTAGAGAACATTGTAAATGAGGCCTTGTATTATTTCATATATACATATAAAAAGAAGCCTTTCGGTTTTCCCCTTTCATGAATTTCCCGTTGCTTGTGTATGTCTTTCTTTTGTTTTGAATTTTGATGCTTGTCAATGATTAGACAGATGAATTGGATTTCGAGAAAAAACCCTTAGGTTTGCAAATCGTCCCTAGGGCCTGTTGAGCTGGCCTGTAGGCTCTTACGCATTTGCCCTTAGGCGCTTTTTAGTTAACCATTTCAGGCTCAGTCTTCGAGTCGGGTTTCGACTCGAGCTCATCGACCCTTAATTTTTTGAATTTTAAGCTGGCTCTTAGGCTCTTATGCGTTGGGTCGGTACGACCTCTAATATAGGCTGGCGCTTAGGCTCTTACGCGTTGGTTCGATACGACCTCTAATATAGGCTGGCGCTTAGGCTCTTACGCATTGGGTCGGTATGACCTCTAATATAGGTTGGCGCTTACGCTCTTACGCGTTGGGTTGGTATGACCTCTAATATAGGCTTTATTTTTCCCTCGTTAAAGACCTTTTGAAGTTTTTGTGTTTGTCTGACTCTTCGACGGTTCGATAAGAACCTCGAGTGTGAGCCGTTATGTAACGATAAATGAGCACCTCAGGATGTTTCGCTCGGTGGCTGAATTGTTTCGAAGCCTTTTCATTGTTTGGAGCTGACACGATCGAAGCTCTTTTGCTTGTGCCGAGGGTATCCTGATTAACCGGTTCTTTCGAAGTATTTTCGAAGTTATTGAAGGCCTGTGATTTTATGGAGACGATCGGGCATCCCCGAGTCGCGTTAGTTTGGCCGGAGCCTTGTGACAATAGTCATTGTGTTCGGCCGTAGCCTTTTAGTCCCCGAGTGAGGTAGCCTCAGCGTTTCTATCGAGAGTATGCCTTTTTAGGGGTCTTACAAGTTCGAATATACAGCCTTGACTTTAAGATCGGGATTATGCCTATTGTAAGGTCTTATAAATTTGGACATGCCTTACTTAAGGTCTTACAGATCCTTTGGTTACTTGGCACAAGTATAATTCATGCCTTGCTTGAGGTCTTACATATTTGGTATTGCCTTATGGAGGTCTTATGAGTTTGAGGTTGCCTCATGGAGGTCTTACATTTTCTAGCGTTGCCACATGAAGGGCTTTCGAGCTCGAGGTTGCCCGCTTGGGGTCTTATGGCCTTGAGTTTTTGATAGCTCGATGGGGTGACAGTCGGCGACAGTCCTCGAGACATCGAAAGTTTTTGGCTGTGGAGTCGTTCTTTGTGAACTATATGTTGCCTCATTGAGGGCTTATGAGCTCGAAGTTTCCGGCCCGGAGGTCTTACGGCTTCGAGTTTTTGATGTCAGTTTGATGGGGTGACAGTCGGCGATAGTCCCCAAGACATTGAAAGGTTTTGGCTCTGGAGTCATTCTTTGTAAACTTGATGTTGCCTCATTGAGGGCTTATGAGCTCAAAGTTTCCGGCTCGGAGGTCTTACGGCTTCGAGTTTTTGATGTCAGTTCCCGAGTGTTTGGGAAATTTCTGGCCCTGGGGCCGTTTCTTGTAAAAATAGCAAAC